TTGATACAACATATGAAAACAAGTGAAGGCCTTTAGAATATATTGAAACAGCATATGAAAAATTTGTGGTTCAGCTTATGGCCCATTTTTCCTAGTTTGCTTAAAAATTTGAGGCTTGGCTCATTTGTGGAGGGGCTTTTCCATAAGTCTATACAGCACTTTTGTTTATAATTTTGCTGAAATATTAAATGACATGCTTACGTACATCAGACCATTCAAGATGGCAAGGGGCAGAAAATTACTGTGCTTTTGCTTCTCAATCACATTTTTTTGTGCCTTCAAGTCTGCATTAATTCCTAGCAACTGCCTGGACTAGACCCTGCAGTTTTCCTGGCAAGATTTTCAGTAGTTTGTCCTTGTCTGTTTCCTACAGCTGAGAGTTGACTGGCCTAACATCATCCAACTGGCTTCATGCCTAAGGTGGGACTAGAATTCACAGTCTCCTGATTTCTAGATTGATATCTTAACCTCTACATCAGACCGACTTGCTCTCAAAATAGCATGAGTTATTTGATTTCTGTAGCTATTATAAAGGCTGACTGAGGATCTGGACCAATATGCTTGCATGTTTTGGCTGGCTTTGAGAACTGAGCTTCTCAATGCCAATTTATCTGAAACCATGTCAGTTTATGGGCAGTTTATTTTCTCATTGGTAAAAATTCATCTCACTTTTTTCTTCAGTTTTAACTAAACTCTCCCCCCTTTAGAGTTGCCAGGCCCTCACCTGGAATATTATCTAGAATGTTATTTCCCATTCTTCTTCACTGCAGATGCTAACAATGAGTGAAGAAAGCACCTGGCTTCAAAAGGTATCAACAAGTTGCTATTTTACCCTCACAGCTTAGCATACATTTTATGCACAATGGAGTGATTGCTCACAAATGGTCAAATAAATGCATATTATATGTACTGGAAAAACAACCAGAGCAGGTGGCTTCCTATTTTGTGAGGAATATGTTTTTTGTTTGTTTCTTTTACTTGAAGATTGGTAATGATTGAATGCAGTTTGTTGCAGTCTCCTGTTGCTTTGCCTGAAGAAATATTAATCGGTTTCCTCTGTTTTCTGTCTTCTCATACTGGAAAAAGAAAAGATGATTTCAAATTGGCCAACAGCTACTGATGTACTGGTGTAAAATTTGCTATTCCCACTACCAATCCCTGTCCTGCTACACAGAGATTCTGCCAAAAGGAAATGAATTGGTTCATTCCCTCAGCTTTGTTTCCTTCCTCTCTTGTCACCAACTGGGAGGAAAACACCAACCAATCCCTCTCAGTAATGAGGACTGTGGCTGGAGAGGGAGGGAGGCCAGTTTTGACAGGAGGGAAGTTTTGATGGGTTCGACCTCTTGTCAAAACTTACTCCAGGCTTTGCATACATTTTCAGCAGCTGATCTCCAGGCTGAATGAAGATGATGATTAGGAAGGGCTAGCTCAGGGGTCTTCAAACTTGGCCTTTTTATGATTTGTGGACTTCATCTCCCAGAATTCCTCAGCCAGGCACGCTGGCTGAGGAATTCTGGGAGTTGAAGTCCATAAGTCATAAAAGGACCACGTTTGAAGACCCCTGGACTAGCTGGTTCCTTCAAAGCTCCCAATCTCTGATCACACAGTCATTTGGAGCATTATGTGGTGGGTAATGAGTCTGCACCCCTTTCTCTTGCCATCTGTACCACCTTGCTAGCTGTTAAATTAAGCTAATTTTAAATATAGATTTAGTAAGAGGTAGAAAACAGTGCTTTAGAACAGGATGATTACTCTGAAAAGTGGAGTCACAAAAGAAAGCTAAGGCTGCCTTGGATAAAATTTAGGAGTGAGGTGAAGAAATATCATGAAGACATAGCCAAAAAGAGAGGGAAGAAGAGTTGTTCATGTTATGTTTAATGCAAGTGGAGAAAGGCCCTTTGATTCTTAGGATTTTAACTAAGCAGCAGTGGTGGAAGATGCAGGTACTAAGTATTTATTTGGGGATTTGTAGCCTACTAAGGATGGAATTGCACCTAGTTGAAGTTCAAGTTGGAAATTCTTTCAGGAACAATGGCACAAGGTATACAAAGGAAAAGGATCTCAGATAAGGATCTCCTTGTGTTGAAATTTTAATCTGCTTTGTAATAAATCTTTCAGAGCAAAGCCCTGAGAGATTCTAATTGTTCGCAATATAAGTTGCTACAGGAGAAGTTTGCCAGATATGAAATAATGCACGCTAGCTCTACTGATCCTAGTCCATGGTTCAGCCATGTGGGTCATTGCTAGGCAGTTAGCAGCACTTCAGCCTGCCATGTGATGTCACAAGAACCTCAATTTAAAACATAAGAAATATTTTATATAATTAAAAAAATTTAAATTGCAAAAGATTCCTGAGAACACAGCTTGTAAGAGTTCGGCTATTTTTAAAATGTAATGTCATGGATCAGTTATGACATCCAGTGAAGTTCTGAGGTCCATGGCTTAAGTAACTGGCGGTGACTGAGAACAAAGACAATAGAGGGGACAGCAGTTTTCATGGTGGATTCAGCTTTCTGTTAACTCAAGGATGGGTGGACATCACTATATCAAGGGTACTATGGAAGAGCTAATACAGTTGCTTTTTTGCATTATGTTTCTCTCCCTCTGGACATCACAACCTTTCAGTGTCTGTCAGTTGCTAATTTGGTTGATCCCTTTTTTCAGGTCAGATAGCTGAGCCAAGCATCAGCTTTGAAACCTTGTAGGCACGGGAGATACCGATGTGAAAGATCCAGTCTCTCCCACTAATCACATCAGAATAGCCACATATAGGGCAGTTTCTAGGGATCACAAAGGGGAGGCCATTACTGAACAAACCTAAAGTAGCCAATAGAAGTCGCGCTGATCCCATTCTTTCAATTCAATGCCATGTAATTATGCCTATGATTTTAGAATGCACTGAGATGAGGAGGAAAAAAAAACTATTTTAACATTGAAAAACAGCTAAGGACAACTTAAGGCAGCCTCAGATATGAGCTAGGAAATCAAATGACGGCAACATCATGAAGGCAGGGCAGAAAAAAGAGGTTACCAGGAAATATTTGTGGCATGGTTAGGTACAAGTGAGAACAAGCCTCTCGGTTTCTTATAAAAAGCTATTTTGAAATTCTTGTCTCCATATTCTTGTCTCCAGTGAAATTAAAGATTTTGCCATGCTGGTAGGATTGCATCTTCCTGAAGCACAATAAGACAATGCCAATTGAAAGTTGCTATGATGGTGTAAATCCAATGACAGTTGGAGCTCAAGTAGCATTCCCAAATTGTGAAATAGCACTTCTCAACAGAACACAGTGCAGGACTCTTCAGCTGTCCAGCTTTTTTCTTCCCAACAGCACTCAAAGCCATCACTGAAGAAATCCAACATCTTCAGAGTGCAGGTTGCAAAGTTTCCATTTTGAATCTCTTTCTGCTGCCTGTCTACTATAACAGGCTGAAAGCTCTTCAGTTTGTCTATTGTTATGGTGACAGACCAGTCCAGTGTCATGTTGTTTCCCTCTGACCTTGACCAATCTAGTCTGTGCATTCCCTACATTTTCTTTCTAGCACAGATTGTCCACTAAGGTGACTAAAGCAGTCTTTGTACTATATTGTGGATTAACTATATTTAATCAAGGTACACTGGTTCTTGTTTAATGTCTACTTGGTCAGCGACTGTTCAAATATACAGTGGTGCTGAACAAGTGATAGTTATGACTAGTTCTCATACTTACATATGGTTGCAGTCAGTGGTGGGATTCAAATACGTGAACAACCGGTTCTCTGTGTGGATGCCACTACCGGAAGTCCATTCTGGGCCTGGGCAACAAAAAATTAGCTACCGGTTCTGCCAAAGTGGTGCAAACCAGCTGAATCCCACTACTGGTTGCAGTGTCCCACAGCCACTTGATTACCATTTCTGACCTTCTTTGCCAATTTCCTACAAACAAAGTCAAGGGAGAAATTGGTCACAAATGGTGACCAGAAGGTGTCCTTGCATAAAAAACCACAGTGATTCACTTATCAACGCTAAATGGGAGTGCTGGAATTTCCATTGCTAAGAGATGCAGTCACATGACATGCCCCATAGTGATGAAAATTCTAGCCCCAAACACCATCATTAAATGAGGCACCCATATTAATGTCTTCAATTTCCAAAACCATTCTAGCTGGTGAAATGCACGCTGCAATGTAATAATAAATCATTTTCATTGAAGTGTGATATCTGGAAGTGTGAAGCTGCCAGATTCTCAATCATGTTACTAAGAAATGGAATATTGGTAATTGACTGATAATTAGAAATGAAACCATGAAGGTATTGATCACCAGTATAGCTCTCATTTTTCCATACACCCTAACACTAATCCTTGAAACCAAAGAGAGAAAGAAGCCATACTGTTATTGGCAAAAATCAGAAGCCAATAAGGGAAGTCAACTCTTCCCCTAAGTAAAGACGATTAATATCAACAGCCTGTGTGAGTGAATATGATTTGGATAATGTCAGCTTAACTGCTCCATGCATCCTGCTACTAAGAGCGTGAGCTCCACGCTCCACAGTTGCTGCTGAGCCATGTAACTACATGCCACATCACCTCATCATCAGCTGCTAGGTTTATGAAAGAATTAAGACCACCTGCTGATTTAATCCATCCTGGATTTGCATCTGTTTCTTTCTTCCCATTCCTGTATCAATTATGCAGCAAAAGGTATAAATAGGTGCCATCTTCTGTCTTGATGGCATTGAAACCATTGTTAACAAGTGTTCCTGGCAGTTATATAATCCAATGTGTGCTAAACCCTGTTGTCAGCACTGCCAGCATGTGATGAATTGCAATTGTAAAAAAGATGTTGTACTGGGAAATGTGTTGGCAGGATAACAAAATTCAGTTGGGTGCTAAATATGTGTATCAGGATTGGTGAAATTTTACCTAATTGGGAATTTCTTTTTTATTAGTTAATTCTCTAGAAATGGAGGCATGTGTTCTGTCTGATGAAAACTCATTTTTTCTCATTTGTTATAGATGTGCATCTGTTCACTACACCACAGATCTGCCGGCCACAAGCATTATTATCACTTTTCACAACGAGGCTCGTTCCACATTGCTCCGTACAGTGAAAAGGTACCTTGTACTTTTAGACCTAAGAGCCATGTACCTAATATATGCAAGAATTAATTTCCACTGTGATTAATGCAGTTTATTCTGAGTAAAAAGAGAACAATCTAATATTGAAATCCCAGGCACAGAAGAAAGTCTTGTTGAACTCAGCATGACATATGTCTGCCTAAGGTTGCCCTCATTTCACTGTTAAGCTTTGTTAATATTAAAAGAGCATCTGGATAGGCATTTGTTCAGATCCATGGGCTATTTATTCATCAGAAAATGCAGCATTAGCCCAAATCGTCTGATCTGTATCTCACATCTGGGTTTTCAGAGGCATTGCTGTCTGTGTAATCACAGCATTATTATCAGGATCATTTTAAAACAAAACAAAGACTTTAATCCTATATTTGCATTTCACCCCTCATTTTTAAATGCTGCAAATCATGATCATCATCAGCTATTACTATTCCTAATTATTACTTGGAACAGCTTACATCCTGTGATGATACCTTTAACACCATCAAACAACAGTGTCTGCTTATCCCAAATCTATGGGAAGGACTCAATAGATTGAGAAAAATGCCATATTCAGTCTAAACATCTTGCTGACTCTGTGACCAAACATAATAATAATCTCCCAGTGAAGCACTACCTTGACATGGTTGTGGGGCCTGTGTGCTCTGAAGAAGATGAGAGCTACAGCAGAAGTTCAATGATATTGGACAGGTCTCATCAGAGAAGCCAGATGCTTTATTTCATAAACAATACAATGGCATGTAATTTACAGAAACCCATACCACATCAGTCATCACCTGGGTCAACAAGGACTATGCTAGAGTTCCTGGACATCTGGTGACAAACTGACTATAGGACTCATAACTGTTGGCTGAACCACCAGGCCAGCAGCTGCAGGCCTACTGGAAGAAAAGTTGTTTACCGCTTGCAAATGTAAAAAAGATTGAAAACAAATAAATAATGATGTGTTATTACAAATCAAGTCCAACAAGAAGAGAATAACCAAAAAGAATGCATCAGCTCTATAAAGAACAACATCCAGAACCATAAATAATAGAACAGAAACTAGCAGACCAATGCCATTGTTTAATATAAAATAAAATATCCACAGAATCAGAATTGGAAGAACTGAAAAGGTCTACCCAGGGTAAAGAAATCAAAGCCTTGCCAGAAGTAACACAGACTGTGAAGGCAAACCAGGGGGAATTCGCAATGGAAAAATCCAGCATAACTATTGAATCATTTTCATTCCCAAATATGGTACCGTCTCCTCTGCCTTCTCCTCAGAAAGAACAAAGCTCTCTAACTAAAAGCTGAGCATATAGAACAGCACAAAAACAGCTGAAAAAGATTGCTTGCATTGAAACTTATTCCAAAGAAACAAATAGCACAAATATTAAAAGATGCCAAAACTGTAATATCAAATATAAGCAATAACTCATTTCAGGAAACAAACCAATTAATATACAACACAGTTATGGTTATAACTGAATATTTGGATGCAAAATCAATAATCAAGAAAAAAAAAGCCAAGCAGTCTTCACCAAAATGGAAGCTCAGGTTAGAAATAAGAACAGTGTTCTTGCCCTAGCTTCTGCCAACCTAGCAGTTTGAACGCATGCAAATGCAAGTAGATAAATAGGTATCACTTCAACGGGAAGGTAACAACATTCTGTGCACCTCGCCGTTCAGTTATGCTGGCCACATGATCATGAAAGTGTCTTCGGACAACATGGCTTGTTCAGCTAACAAAAGGAGATGAGCACTGCCTCCTAAAGTCTGATATGACTGGACAGGGGAAACCTTTACGTTTGCTAAAATCAGATACAAACAAGCTAGAACAGATTAAAAAAAAGAAGTTGAAGGAGAAGATCAAATAATATCTAATCAAGAAGCATCACCTAGAAACCAGGAAGATCAAAGAAGCACTGGAAAATAATAATAATAATAATAATAATAATAATAATAATAATAATAATAATAATAATAATAATAATGATGATGATGATGATGATGATGATGATGATGATGATGATGATGATGATGATGATGATGATGATGCAGTAAATCATAGCTACTGTCTGTACAAAACCAGGCCTTAGGAACAAATGCATACAAACCCAGAATTGAGAAGACAGCAACAGATAGCAAACACCACCTCTGAGCAAAGCTGAATAAAATGTTAATTGCTACAAGAATTTGTGCAAGAAATATCATTTGCTTGCAGGAATTGGTGGGACCACAAAAATAGACAAAGTAATAGAAAATGAAGAATCTAAAGTGTTCTGGGATTTTAAAATTCAAACATACAAGCACCAGCCACATAACACCCCAGACTTAACAATTGTCAATGGTCAATCAGAAAAACAAAACAATCTGTGGTACCTTTGTAATTCCTGGAGACAGTAGAAGAGAAAAAACTTGAAAAAAATTACAAAATACAAAAACTTGCAAATAGAAGTAGAATGACTATGGTAAAAGAAAACAAAGATGGTATTAATAATCAGTAATATACACCTTGGGTCGAATTCCAAAACATCTGGACCACCACTTGAACACCATCAACATTGACAAAACCGCCACCAGTCAGTTGCAAAAGGCAGCTTTACTTGGGACAGCTTACATGCTCAATGATACCTTTAACACCATCTAACAACATCTGTATATGCCAGGTCCTTGGAAGGGCTTGATAGCCCCTGGATAAAAATGCCAAATACAGTCTGAATATCTGGCTGACTAGGTGACCAACTTTAATCTATGTACTTTAACTTGCCCACGTTTTACAGAAAACTTGAAATCTTTTCAACAATGATGTATAGTACTGCATGTATGGTAGGATGGATGCAGAGGCAGAAAGATTTTAGATTAAAATAGCTTTATTATTAGGAAAAATACTGTACTTTACTTCTAGAAATTGGATATGTACTTTCATGAATTATAGAGTTCCTAAGAGTCTATTTCTCAATGTAAAAGTTCTGTAGCCTACAAGGCTCATCACCTTGAAAAACACATTATTCAAATTCCAGAGCAAAGAAACAGGGGCTGAAAACAAAGAATAATAGGTAACTACCTCTTCTTCCATGATTTTCTTTGAATCTGTATCTGGTCTTTGCTGAAGTCCTATCACTTCATGCAGGACCCTATCTGATTATCATCTACTTGGCTAAATAAATTATTATTTTTATTAATAAGCCATAAAAAGGCACTGAGTCCAAGCACGTTCTCTCTACCTTGGCTTCAGTGCTTTGATCCTAATAAGTTCCCAGTAATGTTAAAAATGTTGGTTTAATGACTTATTTGCTGGAAGCGCAGATGGAAATAGAATTTTTGATGACAAGCCAGGATGTAAATTTAATAGCTAAAGATTGCTAAATGTTTTTTTTTTAAAAAAACTGTTGCAGAGCTAGAGAATTTAATTGGTCATAAGGCAGTAACTATCATGCCCAGATAGAAACAGTTGATACCTGCTACATGATAACCAATTTATTTTCCTCCCATTCTTTGGCTCTGGGTAAGAGCCAAATATGCCAATGCCTGGCACAGTTTTCAATGTTTTATTCCCCTTAGCTCTGTGGCTCTGGTTTTCTTTTTGGGTTAAGCTGACCATTTCTGCCATTTATTTCTGAGCCAGATTTTTTACTATTTGATTTTTCTAGGGGAAAAAACAGTGCTTTGCTCTTTGATATATTTAAAATTCATTCAAAGTGTCCCTTTAGCAATTTACCAAGTCAGGGATTTTTTTCTCTCCTGTGGACATAAAGATAGTGGGAAAGAGGAGGGAGGGGGTGAGGTGGACCGAGAGCCAGTGAGAATGAAGCTCAGCTGGAAGGCAACACAGAACTCTGACATTAATCCATTATTCATTAGAACTCCTTTCCCTCACTTTGGGTCTTGGGGTCTTACAGAAAACTGCTTTGTGAATAATAACAGGCATTTTATCTGAGGACTGCAAACAGAGGGATGGCATTGCATGCTAGTGAGAATAAATGCCTTGCAACTATCCTGCTATTCCCCCTGGGGCATTTGCTCGCAGGGAGCTGTAGGCAGGCAGGGTAGGTTCAAAGTAGTCTTGTGCTCCCCTGTGCTATAAACCAGTGAGGCAAACAAGGTGACCATTTGCTTTTTTGATAGCCAGAAATTCTTGCTTGAAACAGTTGCTTTACAGGTAGTCCTTGGGTTATGACATTGCTAAGCAATAAAACAATAAAGAACGATGTCACGTGACCATGTCACTTAGCAATGGCAGTTCCAGCTGCTGTTTTTTATATATATAATATTTTATTAATTTTCCAATTTTACATTTAAGTATTTAAAAAGTAACGTGGTGGCTGGGTTAATCAATAGTTCAATAACAAAATCTTTAGTACAAATCTCAAGTTACAACATCAAATATTCCCTCTCTTTTTCCCTTAACATTTACTGTTTCATATTTAAGCTAATACAGTTCTTATTATATCAACTCAGTAAAAACATCATTATTATATTTATCAATAAATTTTAGTTTATACGTATCTTAATTATTTTTTACATTCAATCTTCATAAACAATAATAATAATAATAATGATAATGATGATAATGATAATGATGATAATAATAATAATAATAATAATAATAATGATAATAATAATGATAATAATAATGATAATAATAATAATAATAATAATAATAATAATAATAATAATAATAATAATAATAATAATAATAATAATAATAATAATAATAAAAAGTTGGAAGGGACCTTGGAGGTCATCGAGTCCAACCCCCTGCTCAGGCAGGAAACCCAATACCATTTCAGACAAATGGCTGTCCAGTCTCTTCTTAAAAACTTCCAGTGTTGGAGCATTCACTGCTTCTGGAGGCAGGTTGTTCCATTGGTGAATTGTTCTAACTGTCAGGAAGTTTCTCCTTAGTTCTAAGTTGCTTCTCTCCTTGATCAATCCATATCCTGTTATTAATTTTTCCCAATTTTTAGTTTCCCATCAATATTCCAATTTAACCTTTA